CATCTCACCTGGATTACTGTAATTCACTTCTCTTTGGCTTACCAGACAAACTCCTCCATAAACTACAAGTTGTTCAAAACTCCGTTGCTCAGATTACCACCAGAACCACTTCCATTTGTCACATAACCACCGGAGGAGGTAGAAACACAAGGAGCTCCCACGACGAGTCAGTTTGCCGACAACCAAAACCACCACAGGCTTCTCCGTCACCATCTGCTGAGGCTCCACCGATGTACTCTGCACCGCGAACCGTCTGGTAGCCAGCAGGACCCGGTCAGCTTCCTCTGCCAAACCTCGATAGTCACCAGCAGCCAACCGAGGGGAATTCGCTAAAGCCGCCCTCACTTGCGGCGGGAGCTGGCGCAGAAAAATGTGCGGGAACAGGAAACCCCCTTCGTCCGAGCCAAGCAGCGACAGCATATTGTCTATCAGGTCCACCGCGGAGCTGTCGCCCAAACCAGACAGGGAGAGGATCTTATCAGCCTGCTCAGTTGAAGACAGGCTGGACCTCTGGAGGAGAAMCTGTGTGCGGTGTGTTTTCCACTGCATGGTGGGTTACGCAGTAGTGGCCTAACCCTGCGGGTAGACTGCTGATCCAGGGAAGCCACGACCAAGTAATACAGTATCTGGAGTCGTCCGCATCCACACCTCGTAGGTGAAAAAGTGCCTCGATGTGCTGCRGGGTCGCTCTGCCAGAACTCCAGGAGTTTCACAGTCGCAGGGGTGYTGAAAGCAGCCGGGGCCAGCTGTGAAGGTGGGACAGACGACGCTGAGGCTGAGTTCGATGAAGAGACGCGATCTTCGGCTGGTTCTGACATGCTCACATTAGGGTCACCAATGTAGCACCTGAAGAAGGAGGCATTTGCCAACGTGCTTCTTTATAACTAAAAAAAATCTCTATTTTGTTTTGGAAACTGATTTGCAAATATCAGACAATGAACACCCAAGAGAAGTGTAAGAGGAGAAATTAAAACCTTGATGAAACACTGTAGCTATTTTTGCATAACAAAGGCACCAAACATTAAATAAATAAATACTACCATCAAAATTTWAAAAAAGATATGCGCAATGACTCAACAAAATGAAAAACATGGTGGTTGTGTGTTTGACTTGTGTCTGTAGCTGAACTGCTAGTTAATGGTTGTTAGTGCTTGGTGGGTACTGCTGTCCACAGACCTGCTGGGAGGTGGCTGTTTGAACTTGTGGTGGATGGTGATCATCTGAATCTTCCTCCAAATGGATTTTTGTGAAACTTTCAGGAAATGTTTATTACACTTWCGCGGCTCCAGTCCGATCACCAAGCTGCAAATGAAGCAGTGAAAATTAAAGCACAAGCCACTCGGAGGTCTTCTCCAGTGGTTCTCAGATGTTAATGATCTGAGATGCACCATGTTCATGCTCTGAAATGTTTCAAACTTCAACCAACTGTTCTGTGTGCTATAACAAACATTTCCTGAAYCACACTTGCTTTTTTGCTTGGTTGAAATTACTTTTTTAGTTAGAATTTATTTTTTTTGATAGGTTGAAATAGTTATTTTTGATTGAAATAGCTTGTTTGATTGGATGTTTATCTTATCTCAAGTTTGTTTAAAARGTGTTTTAATATTCTGATTTTATTTTCAGACTGGGCCGTCTTCCTACAAAAAAGATGAGGACAATTTGTAAAGCCTTCAAGCTTCCACTGCCAGAGAACTTGCGTGAGGGTCTGCTAAAAACGTAATTGTCCAGGGTTTTGCATTGAACCATTCAAGGTCCAGCTGCATCCTSTAACAATATTTGGACATGTTAATTTTGATATATTGTAAAATGCAGCCATGATTCTTTGTTTTGATATTTTGCATAATTTAACCCCCAGAAGGTCTCGTAGGGAAAATGTATATATTTTTTATTTATTCTTTTTTTGAGCATTTTTTTGGTTTATTTTTGTGGTGTTGTCTGTAAACAATAATTCCTGACAAAACTAAAAATACTTTTATGATCCGTTTTTTCCTTTCTTTACTTTGTCAGACTGAAGTCAAATCCTTTTGTAACCTCACAACAACTTCACTATCCTCTAGGGTTCCTTTGGGAAAAAACTGATCATATTGAAATATATTATAAACTAACTTGATCCCATATTTATCATATAAACTATTGTATTCATTACAGTAAATGTTTATTTTTTAATTTACCTATTGCTATGATAAAAAAATAATGGTGCCTTGCTTTTACATTTGAGAGATGCTGAAAAAACCAGACAGCAGGCTGGAAGTTACCAGAAGAGAAGCACCTTTTGTAGCTGGTCGTTTCTATGGACTTCCATTTTGCTCAACAAAATCATTTTAGTTCAGATGTAAAGAGCAAAAACACACTTGCATGTTGCATGAGTAAACATTTAGTACAAAAGTAGTTCCACATGCATGCAGGCCAAATAATCGGACACCACATGGCTGGAATGGCTTGGCATTGACTGGAAACCAAACAGTACAGTCGATGCAAAAACTAAATACAAACTGGCATTTGGCATGAGTAGYCTTCAGAAGAAATTTAATAAAGCATTCTCCATGCCAGATCACAGRCTGCATGTGAAAGTTTGAAAACAAGGCCTCATTTTTGGTTGCTTGTTCTGAAGAGTCCAGTGGGCTGGATGGTCGTCCCAAAACGCAAGACTGTAATTTGTAAAAATAAATAAATAAAAAAAATTCTAAGCTTTCTTTTGAGAGTACTATTAGGGGAAAATGCAGGTTTTCTCAAAAATATAAACAACTGAATTGTGTATTTTCTTTAACTAAAGGCTTTTATAAAGAGTTAAAAGAGAAAAGATTTGTTTAAATGTGATATTTACCAGCTAAGATATAAAACATTGATTCATTTCAGTTCATTGTGAACAAAGAATGTAAAAAAATAGTATCTATAAGCAGTTATATAAGACGGTTAATATTGTCATAAAGTTAAAGGACCTTCTGAGGGTTAAAACACATTTTAACCAGCATTCAACATAAACTTGGTTAAAATAGCTGCAGAAGACTTGTTGAGTTCTGTTTGTAACTGAATCCCTGTTTGCTGTAGGTTTGCAGATGAAGCTGAAACCATCGATTACCATGCTTTCCTCGCTGGTATTAACTGGTCAGAACATCCTGCTCACCAGTAGTGCCTGAGGACGGTTTAAGAGTAAGTGAGAAGGAGGTCAGTGGCTTAAATAAAACAAAAACAACCAAAAGCAAAACAAGAAAAGAAAGCTAGAGATAAAGTCTTTAAATGTGGCAAAGTCAGTAAGAAGTTTGACAGTGTGTGCACAGATTTTTAAATAGATATAATAGAAAATCAATCTGTATTTTACTCCAGTCTGTGATGACTTCAAGGATAAGTGAGCCAAAGGCAGAATTAAGTAAGTGGGAAGAAACAGTCAAATGAACAAGGGCAGTTTATTGTAGCAGAACTTCAAAATGAGACCCACCCACCCCCACCACCCCACACACACATACACACACATACACACACACACACACACACACACAAACGCACAGATTGATAGAGAGGCGATCAAAAAGAAAAAAAACACCCCATTGATTTTTATGCTCGCATTAATTTTATCCCTATGCAATGCTATTTTCCAGCTGGTCCCCAAAAAGTAGGTGTGCATGCCAAAAATGGTCCTCACATAGCTGGGAACACACACACACACACACACACACACACACACACACACACA